GGGGATCTTCATGAAGAAATTTATATGAAACCACCTCCTGGCTTTCCTCATTCCCCTCATCAAGTATGTAAACTTCAAAAAGCTTTATATGGGCTTAAGCAAGCTCCACGAGCATGGTTTGAGAAATTTCGCACCTCTATTCTTACATATGGATTCTCTCAAAGTCCTCATGATTCTGCCATGTTCACTTGCACCTCCAATCATGGTATTGTTATTCTTCTTCTTTATGTAGATGACATGGTCATTACTGGCAGTGACTTAGATGGTATTCAACGACTTAAATCTCATTTGCATGCATGTTTTGAAATGAAAGATCTTGGCCAGCTTCGGTATTTTCTTGGTATTGAAATTGATTACTCACCTGATGGTTATTTTCTCTCCCAAATTAAGTATGCTTCAGATATCTTACAACGTGCAGGTTTAACTGATTCAAAGGTTGTCAACACCCCACTTGAGCAAAATGTTAAATTCCATGCTTCTGATGGTACCTTGCTCTCCAACCCAACGTTGTATCGAGAACTTGTTGGGAGTCTTAACTATCTCACAATCACGAGACCAGATATTAGTCACGCCGTTCACATTGTGAGTCAATTCATGGCTGCCCCACGATCAGTGCACTTTGCTGCTGTGCTTCGCATCCTGCGGTACCTCAAGGGTAATCTGTTTCAAAGACTTCATTTTTCCTCCAAATCCAATCTCACCCTTCGAGCTTATTCCGATTCAGATTGGGCTGGAGATATCACTGACCGTCGTTCAACTACTGGCTTTTGTATCTTTCTTGGCGATTCTCTGATTTCTTGGAAGAGTAAGAAACAAACAGTGGTTGCTCGTTCTAGCGCTGAAGCTGAATATCGTGCTCTGGCTCATACCACTTCTGAAGTTCTTTGGCTTCGCTGGCTCCTTCATGATATGGGTGTCATTCTTCCTCCAAGTACTTCTTTGTTTTGTGACAATCAGAGTGCTATTCAAATTGCCCATAATGATGTCTTTCATGAGCGCACCAAGCATATCGAGGTTGATTGCCACTTCATTCGCCACCATGTCTCCCAAGGGACTATTTCTCTATTCTATCTTTCCTCTGAGCAGCAGCCTGCAGACCTCTTTACTAAGTCTCACTCAGCAGTACGTTTTTGGTTTTTGTTATCCAAACTTCACATGCTTTCTCGAGCATCTTCCGTTTGAGGGGGGGTGTTAAAGTCAATCACGTCTATTATGTATTTCCTTATTTCATCTCCTGTAATTTAGCTGATTAGTCAACTAAGTCTCCTATTTTATATGCTGTAATTTAGAGCTATGTTTCAGCTATGTAATTAGTCAACTTTAGGATTGTATATATACATGGGTTCTCACCCAAGTAAACATATTGAATTAATTATAATCAGAAGATCTTGTCTCTCTCAACATAAAGAACCTGTATATACCTGTCTGTACATTGTTAGTTTTGCGGTCAAGCTTCTTCAAACCTACGTACAAAGCTTGTACAGGGATGACGAACTACATATCCCCAAGATGTAATTAAGTGGTGGTGGGATCAGGATCAGCCAAGCATCCATTGGAGGGCCAACAACACCACTAGAGCTATCTAGTGCTCTCTTCCTCCGAGCCAGCCGACATGGGAGACTCCATATCGAATCAACATCCATTTGTGTGCTCCTCCTCCTTCTTTCCTCAAATTAGAAATCTAAGGGGTGATGATCTTGTCTCTATAAAGTTAAAGGTCAAATGGTCAATGTAGTCATCTTGTATTATATTGTTTCCTTGCATGTTCAAAAAGGTTATCATGCACTCTTTACAGTGAAATTTATGCTTTGTATATATTTTAACAATAGGATAGCGCAACAAGTGTTTTTTTTTAAATGCCAATAATAGTTTCATATCTTTAGTATTATTATTCTTTTAATACTGGTACATTTTGTTTTTACCTTACCCTTACTTTTATATATAATATATATATATATATCTTATTATAGAAAAGGTAAAGCTAATCCCGCAAGCTTTCTGTTCTTTGGTTTTTGATATAATTTTTGTAGCCGCTTTAGGAACAGTCGTCCACCTGATGCATTGAATCTTTCCACTTCCATTATACGATCCGACAGCATTCGCAACTTTTTAAAGCAGATCTAGTCGCTCGCACCACCGCTTTTTCATACCTCTATTTGTACTAATAATTTCAACCTAACCTTAGTGTGTCTTGAGGACCGCCACTTTTCCATACCCTAATTTTCAACAAGTTGATCTACATTCTCGCTGTTTCGAGAAATAGGAAAAGCCAATCTGTTGCCTGCTTGAAACAACCTTTAATCATTCGTGCCATCCCTTTTCACTGTTGTTTTGAATGCAAAGCTGAAATGCTAGCATAACGAAGGCTGCAAATAATGCATTTCATGTGTGATGTGATCACAGAAACTTGTGTCTTAACTGCTTGCCGATTCTCATCATTCGATTAAGATATGTCATATTTAGCATCAAATTAAGGAATTCAAAAACTCTCTCTCTCTCTCTCTCTCTGACTTTCAAATACCAAGGCAAGTTCGGCAAGAGGGTTAAAACCGTGCGCTCAACCCTAGATGCTGCTTTGGTTTAAATAGCAACCAGAAGGGACTCAGAGTCAGATCGAGTCAGATGGAGAGGAAGAGTTTCATTATTAAAAAGCAAATGCAAGCATCATGGTGGATGCATTTAAACCAACGGGCAACGGCAATAAGTTTTCTGTAAGTAGAAATTGATCGCATCTTTTCTTTTGTCAGAGAGAGAGAGTTAAAAGAGATCATGAGAGAGAGAGAGAGAGAGCGATTCCAGGAGAAATACTATTGCCATTTTTTGTCACACGCATTCTTGTCTTTTTTTGTTGTTGATAAATTACGCTATTGACAGCAGGGGCTAGTGGTACATTTAGGGGTAATTTGTGCATGAATTTTATGTCAAAATAGCTCTCGGTACCTGCGGGCATGTGACGCTTATTGACATGCATTTATACATATTTCTTGTAATTATTACTTTTAGTCCTCCTGTTTTAATTTTCTTAATTTTGCTCACATTCTTTAATCCCTTTATCAACTTTGGTTAAATATTGAATTTCATCCATTTGAATATCTTAGGGTCAACATGTAATATTTTCTTGTCCAATTTCTCTAACTCAATTGGAATGTCACCAATTTCGCTCTAAGTAAACCTAAAAATCTTGGGTTGCATATATCTCTAAGTTTTCCCCAAAGCCGCATTCTAACACTTAATCTAGCTCTTCCAATATTGCATACAAAGTAATACGTTATCCGCGCACCTGACCACCAAATTATAAAAAAATGAAGAAAATTGAACATTTGTCTAAAATTGATAAAGAAAGTAAATCATAAGGGTAAAATTAACCAAATAATGCATAAAGTGACAATTACGATAAACCAGAAAGATCATTTTGTGACTTTTAGTATCTTAGAATTAACCGTGAAAAAGAAGATGAATATATACATTTATATAATTAGTTTAAAAAATAATGTAAAAAGTTCATTTGCTTGTTTCACTACACGCCAAGAAGAGTATAAATCAATAATAATAATAGGATGTGTTTATGAAAGAAAAATTATACCTTATAAACCATTTGCAAAAGTTATTATTGAAATCCCAAACTCAAATGCTCTAATCCCCATTGATGAAAACAAAAATTCCAAAATTGCATGTTTTGTCTTAATTTGTTGGCATTGAAACTTCATTTATGCACCTAACCTAGGAGTAGTGTCGACTGGAACCCTAGAAATCTTTTATGATGTATATGTGGAGTAGTGTCTTAATTCCATCGATTGCTTGCTTATATTCCAAACTAAGATCGATATTTCCCCTAGTTCCTTATAAGCTCTTGCTAGGTATATGTGGAGAAGATATAAACCAGCTCAAACTAAAGTCCAATACATTTGTTAAGCTCATCTATGTTGAATTTTGAGACTGATTCCATCGATTGCTTACTCATATTCCAAACTAAGACCGATATTTCCCCCATTCTTGAGTATAGAATTGATATTTTCCCTAACTTCTTATAAGCTCTTGTTAGGTTTCTCAACTTTCCAATGTGAGACTCTTTACATTCACAGTCTCACATATACAACATATATAACAGATATGATGTTTGATTCCAAGAGAAAGAATCTTTGTACAAATCTTTCCATTTTTGGATGGATATGCGAGACAAGGACAAGGCCACGCTGATTGTTAGTTGATAGGGGCCGCCCCGCCACATAGAGCGTTGCCTTACACATGTAATTGCTTCTTCTTCGACCTAAGCCACTAGTCTCTCTCTCTCTCTCTCTCTCTCTCTCTCTCTCTCTCTCTCTCTCTCTATATATATATATATATATATATATAACACTAGTATTGAATTGTGTGCTTACCTAATACGCACGTACGTAAGGCGAGGAGTATACTAGCTATATACCTACACATGGGATTAATCAATTGCCATTGCCTGCTCATATCTCCTTTCTCCTTCATATTTACTAATTCTCATCTGAAAACCAAACCCAATTATTATATTCTCCCCACTGTCTAGATATATGTATAGCTAGGTGCGAGCCTCTAGTGTGTCTGTAACTGAATCTATGGAACTCAGACTGCAACATATAATAACATGAATTCTGCAGACTTTCAGTCAGTCAGTGAATAGTTCTTTCAAAGGTTTCGATCAGCAAGTCCAATCATGATCAAGAATTATAGTTAAATTTGTTTTGGTTCGGGTGATAAAGTATATATGATCAGCACAGCATGCCCTAAAAGTTGAGTTGAGGTACTAATCACAAATAGAAACAAGGAAATAAGAAAATTGAGGAGCAGATTTTGGAAGATTTTATAGCATCCACCCATCAACATGTAGACTAGTTACAGCAAGCAGCAAATTTTATTCTTTCTTATACGGCAAATTAATATATACAACTAATTAATAATAATTATTATAGGATAGTAAGAAAATCGACCTCCTAACCATTAATTCCAAGAGCTAGTACAACACAAATCAGCTGCAGTAGAGATGAAGCTAGCATCTAAATGCATATATCGTTGTACAAAAATTATTCCACAAAAATACACACACACACAGAAGAGAATCATACCCTTAATTTTCGTCCGAATTAAGCTCAAACCACTGATGATATCCACCAACAAATTTGCTTATTGATTCCTGAATAATAATCCAAAAAGCATTCAAAGAAAACTAATCAATTAATAGCTCCAGAGATTTTCTCCTCCATCGGAATTTCCAGGCGAGTCCTCGGAAGAGATTCTCGGGGGGCTCACCAGCATTCCCTCCGCCATGTCCACCAGCAAATTCGGCATATTCAAAAGCGCTTCCTCATCCATAAACTCCTCCTCCTCCTCCTCCTGCCCAACCCTACCCTCCTCATTTTTTACCCCACCCGGCTCCGATCTCCCTCCGCTCTCGCCGGCAGATATCATCTCTGCCCTCGACTGAGCTGCCCTAGCCGCCGCAGCGCGTATGTCACTCGCAGCAGAGGAAGCCGGTATCGGATACGTAAGAATCGAGTTGGGGAAGTTCAGCGCCGTATCGGGTCCTTTCAGAGCGATCGCCGCCACGTCGTAGGCAGCCGCAGCCATCTCCGGCTTGGCGTACGTCCCAAGCCATATGCGCGTCGTCTTACGCGGCTCCCGAATCTCGGACACCCATTTCCCGCTCCGGGACCGGATTCCCCTGTACACCGGGTGGCCCCTGGGCGATGAGGATGTGGAGGCGCCCGAGGGCCCGGGTCTGGGCGACGAGGAGCAGTCTCGATCGTGTGCTGCTGGAGGAGTAGGATCAGGAGGAGCGGGAGGAGGAAGTAGTATAAAGGCAGGGTTGGAAGAATTGGAGGTTGGAGTTGGTTGGTCACTTTTGGGCACGTTACGATACGGATCGGCCATAAATAATATATCAACTAGACATACAAGTTGTGCATGTATGATGTATATATCATATATATATTTATGAATTCGTGACCATGGTCCCGTCATGAGAATGCATATATAAACGGGGTTTTGTTTTTGTAAGAAGCGTGGGGGAATCGCGGAGATAACCTAATTGCCGTTTTTGTTTTATTTTATTTTTTTTCTGACTTTTTCTATGTATGGGGGGTAATGGTATGGTGGTGTGACAAAAGAGTGTTAATAATTAGTACTTTTTATTAACGAGTGACATGGTGGTGATGTGAGGTGAGGTGAGGCCACACAGCGCACACGTATTAATTAAGAGTAAAGTTCGCAAGCGATTAGCTGGTGGTACCGATCTGGTCCGGTCAGTCAGACTCACGTATCAAACTCGTTCTTCATCTCCCTCTTTCTTTTCATAATTAATTCATTGATTTGCTTTTGTGTTGTGTTGTGGGCTTGTTGGGGTGATATTTATAATTTAATTGCATCATGCTCAGCACTCACTCAGCAGTCAGCAGTCAGCAGTCAGCAGCACAACACCACCCTCTCCATCCATCTCCGTGTTTGGTGTTGACTGTGCGGATCTCCTCCTTTATTTTTCTTCTTTGGAGATACGGATCCTTTTTCTTTTAGGGATTTTTAAGATTTCCTTTTAACACATTTAGGTCATGCACAATCCAAACCAGAGTTTTTGTGAACCAAAAACTGGAAAACAAAGTGTTGTCATGTTTCATTAAAAATAAAAATAAAAATAAAAGTTTTCGGGTACTTTTTCTACCCTAGCAAGCCAAGTCATTATCCACAGTACTTTACATTGAATAGAAAGAAAGAAAAAAGACCCATTAAGACCCACATCCTCTTTTTTATGGGCACAAAAGTCCCACATTTACTCTATACATTAATAAATAAAATAAAATAAAATAAATAAAGCATATTTTCTCTGTTTCTCAGTCTGACCGTTAAATCTTAGTTTCCTTATCTAGAACTGTAGAAACTCTGAGCAAACAGCGCACGGTTGTCTCAGATCATCCATGGAGACCATTCGATCAACCTTCCCAGTTTTCCAAACCAACCCAGTTTTCCTCACTCCCAAGCCTCTTAAACCCTTCAAGGTTTCCATCAAACCTCCACCACCAGACTTCAATTTCAGGTCAGAAATTTCAGACCACTCAAAAGCCACAATAGCCAAAACTCACCCTGAGTTGCTTGATTTGGCTGAAAATGGGACCTTGTTCTTCATCGACAAGAGCCGGTTTGGTCCAGTTCCGGCCTGGAGGACCGAGTTCGTCGAACCGGAGGCCATCTGGTTAGTTGGCACCACTCATATTTCTCAAGACTCTGCTCTGGAGGTTGAGCGCGTTGTCCGGGCAGTGAAGCCAGACAATGTGGTGGTTGAGCTCTGCAGAAGCAGGCAAGTTACTTGGAAATTAACGTTCAAGCTTCACATAATTATAAGATTAGCAGTTCTTTTTTCTTTTTTTTGGATGATCTTAACTTAAATTGTTGCAGAGCCCAATTTCAGAGCTGGGATTATGTATGCTAATGCCTCCATGGATGGTGAGGCAGGCCAACAATTAAGGTCAAATATGTTCTCTTTGACTGGAACTGGGTTTTTTGGCGCCGTTGGTCGGAGCATAAACTTAGGTAACAAAACAAGTTCGATCCCCTCTACTCTCCGTACATTAGAATAACGCTTCGTAAAAATAAAAAATAAAAAATTTATTTCTTGTACATCAATCTATTTGACATGAAATCAAGTTACTTTGCATTGAATTTTACGTGACAGGGGGTCAAACTGCTCTGGCATTACGAGTACTTTTGGCGGTTTTCTCATCAAAGATCTCGTCAGATACCAATCGTCCTTTCGGTGATGAGGTAGTTGAATGCAATTAAATTTATTAAAGATGTATAATGTACTGCTGAAAATGAATGGCATTGTGATATTAATTTGATTAATTGCAGTTCCGTGCTGCTCGAAAGGTCTCTGAAGAAGTTGGTGCTCAAATGGTTCTGGGGGACCGGCCGATTGAAATAACTGTACTATGCTCAAATTTAAACCCTGCCGCAACAGAGGACTGTATTTGACCTGTACATTTCTTCATTTCGTTGAAAAATGTTTAACTCGTGTTTGCAGCTTGAAAGGGCTTGGAATTCTCTGAATTGGACAGAGAAACTGAGCTTGGTGGCCTCAGTTGTTCGCGGGATAACCTCACCATCTGATATGTCCCAAAACAATCTCAAGGTTTTCTTTGCTAATGCCTTATGACATCTCTGAAATTATAACAGGATTAATGGAACTTAAATAATGTAAAAGTATTCAATAACTTCTAGATCATCATAAGTTTATTGATTCATTCAAACAGAACATTTGCAGTGTCCTGAAATTTTCTTTCTTGTTACATTTTTGCTGTAGGAATCAAGTGCAAGTGATGATGGCACATTTCAGCTTTATGAGCAGCTAAGTTCTTCATATCCTTCACTCCTCCAGCCTCTGATACATGAACGAGACACTGTAAGTAATACGTATCGTAATTTCAACCATAATATGATTTTAAGCCTTATTTAATTAGTTTACTGTCTATATATATAATCTTGAGTGACTTGAACTGTGCATGATGGTTGTCTAAAGTAGCTAGTAAAAATATAGGCCCCAACTACCTAGTGATATTGTGGTCGTTGCTGTTGTTTTCAGTACCTTGCATGGTCTCTAAAGAGGAGCAAAGCTGTGAATAAGAGTAAGAGAGTGGTAGGGGTTATTGGAAAGGGACACATGAATGGTGTAATATATGCATTGCTAGCTGACCTGGGAGATCTGCGGTTTAGGGACCTTGTAGGACAGAGGCCTTCAAGTCAAGGTACTGATGCTAGTTCTGATGGCAGATGGGTTGTCAAATTGGTCCAGGACTTGGTCAGAGACACTGTCATTGGCACCCTCCTGTGGGCATTATATGAGCAGATAAAAGGTGGATTATAGAGTAGAGTAGATTTGAAATCTCAAATGGCTGAAAATACAATCTTTTTTTTTTTTTTGTATACAAATTTGCTCAGTTGCTCAGAGGCACCTCAAAAAAATTACAACTGGTACTTCACTTTGTTGTTAAGATTTTTACTGCTTGGATAAGGATGTCAAACCAGCTTGATTTATATGGTAAACAAACTCAGGATTGTGTTCAAATTAAACATGCCATTGCCAGCCCTTTTGTAATTAATTAAGTGATAAGGATGTCATTAAACGAAATCCACGACAATTTAGCTAATCATATCTAAAGGAGGTGAAATTTTTGGAATGTAATAAATAATCCTGGATTTTGATTTTCTTCCTTTAGTGGAAACCAGCCACTGAAAATGTTTCACCTGTGTGCGCTAGCTGTTGCAGGTGCATGGCAGGGTGTGTGCTTGATGCATGAACACCACGCTAAATACAGAGGCAATATTGTCATTTACATGACTTAATTGCTTGTAAAAAAATGGACTCAACTCAACCAAGGGAATTAGTGGTTTCAGAAACGAGGAGCCAATCGCCTAATCCTGGTTTTGGTTCTGAGATTCTGTATTGATGACAGCAATTATAATATGAACAAATTAACTTTAGTTTTAATGGTAACTAAAGCCAGCCCTATTAGGCCACCAATTGGTAGAGTTTCTCAGGTTCCAGCCAAGATTTGTCTGACTTACATAAAAATCCCTTTCCCTCGAATTGAAATAAAAAAACCTGAGGCTGTAAAGTGCAACAGTACAAAATCCAGCAACATTTACCAGCATTTATATTCAAATCTGGAAACTACTCAAAAACAAGTGAAATTTGTCCACGTTTCTCCCGACGAATGCTGCTGTAACGGACGTCATTTTCAACTTTTCATTTTTGATCAATAATATTCTTACGACGAAGAGTTTTTTAGTTTTCATTTTAGAGATCTTACATGAAGTAGTTCTGAGTGAAACTAAAGAGACCTAACCCTTTACTTATATTTTCCTTCCTTTTGTCAAGCAATCAACAGAGTAACACTTGAAGGAATTCTTTTTCCAAAATAAAATGCATTTGGTAGTTCTTGAACAGTTTCGGTTTCTATCAACACGTGGTGACTGATGCTAGCACATTTGTATCAAACAAATGATTGGCCGTTAATCGTTAGGTTAACAAGCAGTTATTCGTTTGATCAGTTAATCGTTAGGTTAAAAAACCGTTATTCGTTAGGGCGTTAATAGTCAGTTTAATAAACAGTTTCTGGTTAAGTTGTTAGAGTTTGTTGAGCAGTTGTTTTAAGACATTCTATATTTCATTATGTGATCGAAATAATTCTTCAATTAAACTTCAACTAGTAAATCTTCAATACGAACCCCTAAAGCCTAGCCACTCTACATTCTTAAACACAAGCTAGAGATGAGAAAAAAAAGTTAACTTAAGGAGAAGCTATCTAGTTTGATATAAATTGGCTAGCCACTAGAAATGCAATAGAACATATACACATATTAATTCAATATGTGACAAGTAACTTGTGTGACTATAAATTGGAGCATTCAAATGTTGTAGAAGTTGAAACTAACAAACATATATGCTAACTGCATAAGTGTATGAAGCATCTTAAATTGACTAAACGAATTAAATACTCTCTCGAACACGAGCCAATTTTTTAAAATTTGAATTGCAAATAAAATGATATTCATCCCGTTTGAAAACTCGAAATTATAGTCCAAAATTGGAAGACAAACTTCCGTGGCATGCTATTAAATTGAGAGATTGTGAAATCTTCTTCACTAAGAACTCCATGGAATTAGAACCTCCCATGTTTGGTAAAACAAAATAAATGTCTATTTCACTCTAGATATTTCCATTAATTAGTGTGAAATAAGGGGGCGATGCATGTATGTCATCTTTGTAACTCACATTTCTGCACTGCATGCAATTGTCTGAGAAATAGAGAGAGAGAGAGGGAATTTGGATAAAGACAAGCTCCCTTTCTCTTTAGATTACAAGCCGTTTTCTTACACATATTGCATCTTCATTTGATGTCACTGCTGACTTAACCAGAAGCATCTGGTATTATATATACCCCCTCTCAGTGTGCTTCAAGACACTTCATTCATTCCTAGCCATGGATGCGGCTACAGAGAGGTCTGAGTTTAGGCAATCTTCTGCAAATACCAAACCCTCTTTCGTAGATATGATCAATATCTTGGTTGTGGACGACGATGCAACCACTCTAGCTATAGTTTCAGCAATGCTTAAAACATGGAGTTACCAAGGTATATAGATTCGTGCATGTCCTTTTTAGATCTCGTGTGTATGGTTGGGATTATGACAAGACTTTCTATGCATTCATGTTTGTTGATCAATTCCACGACAAGTTTCATTTTTATTAGTCAATTTCTTTACATTACAAGAGTCATGGAGTTTTTTCTAAGACTTTTTGCATGTCTTTTTCACTATAAGTGAGAATTTAAGTTGCGCTTGTTTTCTTAATTCCTTACATAAATTGAAGTCTCAGTTATGTTTTTTAAATCCAACCTTTTCCCTTTGACTAGATCTAGATCTCATCCTGTACTAGGTAAATTAGATCAGGTTTTCTTTTGTTTCGATGGATCCAAGAGAATTCTTTGGACTTTTTTCTGCAGCTTTTTTCTGTAAGAATGTTTGATAAGAAAACTAAATATATGTGATATGCGATTAGGGTTTTTGTGTGTGTAATTTTCCCGACTCAAACAAAAGGGGATGAATGTGCATCCAATTAGACAATTTTATTATATCTTGTATATGGTGATGATTATTGATTTCCTTGGCAAATAAGCGTAGCTTTATTTCTTTATTTCTTTATTTCTTTTATAATAAGAAAAGGCCCTTATAAGTCACAATTTTACTCTTTTGTTGGGTATATTGGTTTCCCTATTTGAAATCAAAGGGTAGCAATTTTTATTTTATTTTTTTATAATTTAAAAAAAAAAAGCCTTAGGAGATCCACTCCTTCATCAGGTATATATATAAGGTCTTAGAGTAAATCCTTGATTCATGCATATGAGCAACTGAGGGTCCAAATGTGATTTCATTAATCCATGCTATATGTGTTCCAAGATTTAATTAATTCCTTTATTCAACTATATATATATATATACTACGCTAACATTTGGTTGTTGATTTTCAGTTGTCTCGGTTAGAAACCCTATCGATGCTTTGGCTACCCTTCGAGCGAGGAAAGGCATATTTGATCTAGTTGTTACAGATCTTCATATGCCTCAGATGAATGGGTTTGAATTGCAAAAGCATGTCCATGAAGAATTTAAGCTACCTGTTATTAGTGAGTGTTAATTTTGAGTAGTAATTAAATAAACTAATCTCACACATATCCTTAATAAAACTAACTTCGTTTAATTTTCTCAACGCAGTGATGTCCGCAGACGACAAAGAGAGTGTGATACTAAAGAGTTTAGAGGGTGGAGTTGTGTACTATATAGTAAAGCCTGTGAGCAAAGATGACATTAAGAATGTGTGGCAGTATGCTGTTGCAGCTAAAAAGGGTAAATCGGTTACCATAGAGGAAATAGAAAGTGCTCCAGGAGAAGCACCTGGTGAGGTCGAGGATGGAAGTTCTGAGACATCTTCTGATACCGACGAAGAAAAACAGGAGAAAAAAGCTGAGGCCAAGGTCAAAAAGGAACGTAAGAGGCACAGGGAAGACGATAATGAAGAACGTATGGTTGCCCCAAAGAAGCCAAAAGTGGTGTGGACAAATTCACTTCACAATCAGTTTCTGCTGGCCATCAGACACATTGGCTTGGACAGTATGCAACTTTGCTTATCACCAATTATCTCATCTTTTATTTCCTTTCGAATTATATGTGTTTATACGTATAGCTTGCATTGTAATAATTAAATCTGATAACATTTGTATGCCTTTTTTCTCCTTTTCCTTTTGGGTTCATGCAGAGGCTGTGCCAAAGAGGATTCTCGAGTTCATGAATGTGCCAGGCTTAACTAGAGAAAATGTAGCCAGCCATTTGCAGGTTTGTTATTATTCAATTAGTTTATTAGAATTAATCAATTATATTAGTTAAAATTTTATGTGATTTCCTTTTCGATTGGGAATATTTAAATTTTTTTTTAAAAGTTCTTTCACTTCACACTCCATGCAAAGAAAGAAACGTTATTTTATATGAAGACACGCACTTGTAGCTAAATATATTAATGATCATTCTAGTGTTTATTGAAAAATTCCTCTTTTTATTTTATTTTATATATGCATGTATTAAAAACATTTTTTTTAACCTTCAAGATCTCACCTTGTTAACGATGGTTTGAACATGTATATGAATTTGCAGAAGTATCGTATCTTCTTGAAACGAGTTGCGGAGAAAGCCAGGCTATCCAAGTGCTTGTCTGAGAGGGTGTTCAGGTCAAGCTTTGCACTTGGCCATCCAGCACTAGTCTTCAACAATGTCCAACGAGACCAATATTATTCACAACTCCTCAACCCACAGCAAATGGGAACATCAATTGCCTCTACATTTCAACCATCAGCTGGAAATGGAAACACCCTAGCTCTCACTGCTGCTGCTTCCAATAACCTTGGCTCCATCCAATTCCCCAATTACCATCAATCTTCAAGCAGCAACAGCAGCAGATCCTTCCCTCAACTAATCGGTTCAGGCCAGTCGCGTCTATTGAGCAATAATCAAGCTAACATTCTCTGCCAGCAACCAATGCTTGGTAATGGTAATGGGGATCAGCTGCTTTGCCAAGCAAACTGCCGCACGGCAGCTTTTGGGGTGCAACAATTGATGAACACTTTTGGCAATGGAGGTATGCCTTTTGGCCTAATGAACAACAATATTGGACTTACCAACAATAATATTGGTACAAACAGTTTGATGCAAGTACACCCACAACAAAGTCAGCCAAGGCATAATGGAGTTTTCACTTTCACCAATAACCCATTCAGCTACAACTTTGCTACATCAGGAAACCAGATCAGTTCAAGTTATACTCCATTGTCTTCAAGCTTCGAGAACATGGGGTCTAATGTTAACAATGTGAACCAGCAGGTGCCAAACTCCAGTCACCAGCTGGTTAGTAACTTTGCCGGATCCCAAATTATGAGCAGCAGTGGCAGAGAGCTAGTAGGATTAATGGGTAGTCAACCAGCTGGGATGCTCAATGGGAACAATAATGGGATTTTTAATTCTGGTTACATGGCTCAATTGGGAGCTTCTTCATCGTCGATGTCTTCTTCTGCCGGGTTTGAGATTAGTGCTAGTTCTGCATACCAATTTCCACCAAGTTTGCTTAAGAACAATGGTGATGATCAGCAACAAAATGTTCCAGTGCTGCCACCGCCCGCAGGGAATGTTAATGACCAATGTGGTCTGGCAAATATGAATGTTGGACGAGGAAATGTTGAAATTTCCGTTAGTGGTGTCATGGATAATACTATTATTACAGATGCTCCTCCTACCTTGATCAACAACAACAATATTTCTCATGAACAAGAATTGGTCGGTGACATTGATGACTTGATGCTCAGTAATCTGTTTATGGATCAGCAGAACAACTACGAACCTTCTCCTCCTCCTTTTCAGGTGCCTATAATAAACCATAAATTAATGATTTTCCTTTCATCCTAGTTAATATATATTATTTCAGCTATATATGTTGGTCTCTCTCTCTCTCTCTCTCTCTCTCTCTCTCTCTGTTTCACCACAGAATTGTTTATATCAATGTGTGCAGCAACAAGATGGAGATCAAGATCAACTTCCTCCCAACTTTGCTAGTTTCTTACATCAAGTTGAAGTGCCGGACCCTTCTGCGGACCAAGTTCCAAACCTTGACTCTTACCATGTCGAAGATAATGCAGCTAATGAACAATCTTGGAACCAGGCATGCCTACTGATTGCATACTCTCTCTCTCACAGACATTATATTATCATAATACTAATTACTGGCAAATGTGTGACTGTTCAGCAGCAGCAGCAGGAGGGTGGTGATCAACAAGTCGTCAACCCCGAATTCGATGGCAACGTCTTTGACTCAGAGGACTACAGCATATTATTTGATCCAGAGCACCCTTTTCAGGTAACTCAACAATTCGATTTATAGTCATTTGTAGCAACCACGCACTTATATGATATATGAAATGGCTCTTTGATGATTTTCGCTAATGAAATACTCATTTTGTTTTACTTAAATTCTTGCAGGATTGTGACGATGATTTCTTAAATGCCATATTGGATGCTGATATGTAATTTGTATTGAAAGCAGTCAAAAGCCGAGCAAGGATCGATCCGAATCCAGTCCTTTGAAAAGTTTCTTAAATTAGTGTGATTGGATTTAGATTTAGATAGATGACTTATGAGCTATAGAGTAGAGATTAATATTGGTACATAATTTTGGCTATCTTGCTAGTTTGTGTTTTGCAAATTTAAGACTTTTTTATATGGTGACATGTACATGTTTGCTCGCTCTCTCTCTCTCTCTCTCTCTCTCATTAATTTAGGCCTGGGCAGGGCCTGCACCAAACAGCATTGTTGAGTAAGGCCCTTGCATCAGTTATTCAGAACAATTAAAACAAATCAGATTTAGTCAACTCTTGCACCGTTAGCTTCCCAAAAATGTATAATGGGAATGTTCAATACCAAAGCTTTCGAATGGAAATCTTTTTGATAAGCAAAAAAATCTAAAATGAGAAACCAAACGCTAATTAAAAGTCTACCATTCTATTACCATCCCAATCAAATTTCCTCAATCTTCTTCAATTTGACAATAAAAAACTAGCCGTTGGAGAAAATCCTTTCCAAAGCTAAACACATGGCCCCGATACAAATAGATTTCTTCTTCCAAAAAGATTTAGACACCACAAATCAAATCTTTTCTAAGATTTCTTCTTCCAAAACGATTGAGAAAATCTATTTTGGTGAGATTTTGGATCATGATTTCTGGTCGTTGTGCAGCTTGCAAGTATCTGAGAAGGAGATGTCCTTCAGATTGCATATTCTTGCCCTATTTTCCTCCCAATAATCCTGAAAGATTTGCCTCTGTTCATAGAATATATGGTGCCAGCAATGTTGCCAAAATGCTCCAGGTAATAATCCTACAAATTAAAGGTTCAAATGATTTTTTCAGGACACTTTTCGATTCGTGAAGATTGAGTGTTACTAGACAAAATCTTTATCATATGTAACTATATCGTGTATTAGATCGATACATCTTTTCTTCCTTAATTACCAACTTGTGAGAAATTTATTTTGTATTTATATCATCTCTAACTATGATTTCTTTCCTACTTATGACTCTTCTTCAGCAACTACCACACCATTTGAGAGGTGAAGCAGCCGATACTTTGTGTTATGAAGCTGAATGTAGAACACAAGATTGTGTGTATGGTTGTGTTAAGACTATTTCACAATTACATCAAGAAATAAACAAGGCAGAATGCCAATTAGCTAAAACACGAGCTGAGATTGCCTTCATTAGCTCTAGTGGTGGACAAGGAAGGACTACAACAACCTCAACCTCATTACCAATTACAAGTTCGACCCAACTTTAATTTCTTGCCGGACCAAATCAATGTTGGGGACACCCAATTTGGTTCTTCCTCTGAAGCTCCTTGGTTTACTTGATTTGATTTTTGTATGGAAAAAAAAAATTGTTGTTAGAGAGTTTATTTGTGTATGATGTTGCTGGAGTAATACATGAGACAAGTAAAAGTCAATTATCTGTACAAACACTCGAACAATGTTGGGGGAGGGAGAAGAATCGAATCAAGGGCCTCAGGTAAAACCACTCGAACAACAAACTCCTTGCACATATTTTTGGGGGTTATGCCGTATAATTTCTGATTTTTTTAAATACTTTCCAAATTATGAAGCGAAGGGCCCAGAAACTCAATCAACCCAAACTAGTGGGCCAATAGTAATGAACCCAAGATCCCTAGTCCAAACTGGGCCGTCATGTTCAGCTTAGATTTGTAACCGGCAAAGATATTTTTGGCAGACCGACACCGCGCACGTGGTGGGTTCAGATGATAAAAATATCTTATTTTCCCCCTATTTTTATTATTTATCAAAGTGACTCGATCAATCAGAAAGGACCATTTGTATAAATATACTAAAATACAGGGTCCTTTTCAACAATATCCAAAACGTTGTTTTCTTGTACTATTTATTACACTCACGAGGGCTTCGGTTCGGTCAAATCAAAGAAATATCACCCACTTCCCTCAAATCGCTAGGGTTCCAGGCTCCGTTGCTTTTATATCGTCGTCTGTAAAAGAGAAGGTAAGAAACATTCTGAAACCTGATCATCGTTTTCCTATCTAAAAGCTTCATAGGTTTCCGCTTGGTTCCCTAGAAAATTCGAAAGAAACGAAAATTGTGATCTGGTTACTTCTTGCGTTGCTGTTTGCCAATTTTTTTATTAGCTACCGTTTCTCGGCAACCGAATGGGGATCTGACATTTAGGGTTTCTATAGCGGTAGATCTGACTGCTCTGCGACTCTGGTCTTTGTTTTCTGGTTTCTTTTCCTTTATTAATTTTATTAATTTATTAATTTGTTGTCTATTTAGCGGTATTTCACCGATTGGAAATTCTTTTGGTTATCAATTTTATTTTTGTATTTTTGTATATTCTTTTTTCGCTAAATTTGAATTGGAGCTCTTGTTTTCGTGAAATGCATAGCCCTTTTTTTTTCCGTTGGCTAAATTAGGTCCAAACTTCTGGTTTTAGTGAAATGCATAGCTGAATTGCACCTTTTGTTTCTTCAGTAATAGTTGATATTTCTTGTGATTTCTAGGTCTTAGTTTCTGGTTGAATGTAATGGTTTGAGATTAATGCCCCTTGTATGACAAAAGACCCGAGCTTTTTGTGAGTTTTGCCTATGAACGTAACATAGTTACCTTGAATTTAAGCGCCTCGTTGTTTTTGCTTCTGAAGAATGTTTGGTGAGAATTTGGTGATGTTGGATTGTTAGTTGGTACTTGTTGCATTTTTAACATATTCGTTCTATTGTTCTTATTTGGACAGTGTGAAAGATTATTTTGCATGTTTACTAATAGCTTATTCTCACTTGTCTCAGAAAATGAGGCCTATTTTTTGTGGAAATTTTGAATATGATGCTCGACAAAATGAATTGGAGCGGCTTTTCGGTAGATATGGGAAAGTTGACAGAGTGGATATGAAGTCTGGTGAGTTATTTGCTCACCTCGTGTTGATTGCATTTCTATTGTTGTATCTGTATGAAGCTTATTATTGCGTTAACCTTCCTCATCTCTATGTTGTGCTTGTTTCCCCGATGACACTAGTTATCCATCTCTTCTGCCCAAATATCTACAAACATACTCTCAATCAAATAGCCATTGCAGCACATCTACCCAATGCCACCCCCATCTTACTCCCTCCAAAAAACTTCTCATAGGGTAAAGCATGACAAACCTGGAAGAGACCAACTCAAATGTTGTATTAGAATTCATCCTCTAATTTTGATCCCAAAAGAGTTATAAATAATTTCTTTTGCAGAACCAATTATGTGGGAATACAAAATTGTGACTGAATTCACTAAATTACTTAAACACCTGAAAACTGACTACACAGTTCACAGCTTGTGTGTGGTAATATTTGGTGTTAAAGTGATTTTAGTGCATTTAGTCATCATTTTGTATTTCATTGCATTTGCTTTGGTAAAATAAATGATTTATAGTTCTTTGTTTCTTGAACTAACAGAAATTATTATAAACTTGAACTAGCTGCCGCAATCTAGCATTCCTTTCTCACGCAATTTTGAGTTTGCTACCTTGAAGGAACTTAGTGTAGAGTTCAAATTATTATTTTAATAATCTGTCTGGGGAGTCTGTTCATGACCAGAACAGGAGATTAAAATTTGTGCATATGTGCATGTAATTTGCATTGATTTTAAATTTGTAATAACAATCACATAAAAATTATTATACCCTGTGAGAATGCACTGGACCTTACAGCAGAAAAGGCAATTCAACTACGGCACATCTGCATCTGTAGTGGTGGCATTTCCTATACGTTGTTTCATCGGCAGTCACATTGAAGAATCATCCAGAAATCTCAGTGACAGCAGTCTTCCTTTGTTGAGTTCCTTTGGGGGTTCCGGATACGTTTAAGAAAAAAAGCATATATATTTTGACGCATAAACCCCCATACTCAACATTTTCTTTGACGCAGGATTATCTTGGGATATCCATTCTCTCCCAGGCTAGTGGATGGGCTCTTCAGAATTCCTTGTCTTGCCTGTGACGAGCTTCCTCTTCTTGTTATCAAGAAGAGTCACTCTGATCTGCCATTGCACTACCGCCATCCCACATTTTCCACAGTCACAATTGCCTTTCATTCTTCATGAATTTCGCCCAGCCCTCAATTTCAGACATGTTTCAAGATTGAAACACTGCCCAATCCCATGGCAGAGGCAGCAGATTAGATGGAGAAGGCACTATCTTTACATTGACCCACCATGAGACATCCACTTTTGGATTGTTGTCCCTTGACATCACTTAGTTCATAATACAAGGTCTGTTACTAATTTTACTGGTCACTTAGTTTGTAGATTTCCCGGAGGTTGCCAAACTGTTTAATTAGGATAGAATTTTAGGTGGTAATCCTTATGCAGGGAATGCTTACCTTTGTTTGGTAAAAAAAACACATGGAATTTGTTTTCAATCTATTCAGAATATTTACTTCGCATTTTTTACAGGGTTTGCTTTTATCTATATGGAAGATGAGAGAGATGCTGAGTATGCTATTCGGGGACTGGATCGGAAAGAATTTGGTAGAAAAGGACGCAGGCTTCGTGTTGAATGGACGAAGGTAGCAAATGTAGGCAATTTCTATCCTCATTTTGCTTTGTTGCTGTTTGTCAGGTTTTTTTTTCCAGAGTGTACAGGTTTTAGCACTTCTGTGTTTGTATTGCAGCATGAACGTGGTACTAGAAGACCGGGTGCTTCAAGAAGATCTTCGACTAATACAAGACCTTCAAAGACCTTGTTTGTTATAAATTTTGATCCGTATCACACTAGGACCAAGGATTTGGAGAGGCACTTTGATCCATATGGGAAAATTGTGAGTGTTAGGATCAGAAGAAATTTCGCATTTGTTCAGTATGAGTCACAAGAAGATGCTACTAGGGCATTGGAAGCTACGAACATGAGGTGGATCCCTCTCTCTCTCTCTCTCTCTCTCTCTCTCTCTCTCTCTCCGAGCAAGCATTGTATTAGATTTTTTAAATTTCATGTGTCATTTTGTTATTGGCTGATAATGTGTTTTTGCAGCAAGCTGATGGATCGAGTTATATCAGTGGAGTATGCAGTTCGTGATGATGATGAAAGAAGAGACGGCTTTAGTCCTGATAGGAGAAGTCGTGATAGATCACTAGACAGAGGCCGTGATAGAAGAAGATCCCCAAGTCCCTACAAAAGAGAGAGGGGTAGCCCTGATTATGGCCGTGGCCCTAGCCCTGGTCCCTACCGGAGAGAGAGGGGTAGTCCTGATTATGGCCGTGGCCCAAGTCCTTATCGAAGGGAGAGAGTAAGTCCAGACTATGGGCGAGGCCACAGCCCAAGTCCCTATCGAAGGGAGAGATCTGATCATGGCCGGATCACTAGTCGTAGTCCCCGGAAAGAGAGGGTGAGTGCAGACCGTATCCGTGATCGTACCCGTAGCCGTAGTCCTTATGGAAGAGAGAGGCCTGGTGCTGACAATGGCCATGCTCCCATCCATAGTCCATATAAGAGAGATAGGGACAGTCCTGAAAATGGTGCCATCGAGAGTCCATATAAGAGAGAGAGGGGCAGTCCTGAAAATGGCGCCATCCAGAGTCCATATAAGAGAGATAGGAGTAGTCCTGAAAATGGTCGGGGCCCCAGCAGCAGTCCTTATGAAAGAGAGAGGGTCAGCCCTGAACATGGTCGCGGTCCAAGCCCCAATTCTGTGCCTGAAGCTAGGGGGGACAGCCCTAACTATGGTGGGCCTGAAAGCCCCATGCAGGAGAGATATAGCAGGTTTGAATTTCGATCTGACTCGCCTGGATTATTATTAATTGTGTTATTCATACTTGTAAATAAATGTAGTCTTGTCCTTTGTTGTTAACACATCTATTTTTGTTGTTAACTGCAGCCGTTCACCACAAGCTGAGGAATGATGATGATCTTGATCAGTGGTTTGGATCTGTCTGGTTGTGAGATGCTGCAGTTTGTGGTTCCCTTGAAAACTCCCTCTGTAGAGTCGAATCGTAATACAGCTTATGTAGTTTCTTGTAGCCTTATTTCTGAGTTGTAGCTTTTAGAGATACTTGTCTGCAGTTGTTTCAAAACTTCATGGAACTTATTATTGCTATTGAACAAGCAACTTGATACAGAATTTGGCCCTCCAAGTGGTTGTTTACAATTTCAATTTCAATTTCAATTTCTTGAATGTTCCGTTCGTAAGGCAGGTTATTTTGTGTTTGGAAATTCCTCAATTGGACTTTGATTCATGTCTAAATTTCTTGGCCGGCCTTGATTTCCGTCTGCTTACAGCTGTGTGGCATTTTTGTTTCCTGTGTTAAGTGCTCGATGCCCTTGTCCTGACAAATGAACCGTGCCCGTGTTTGTTTTGTTCCTTTTTATCGGTTTTTATCAAGGGAAGAGAGATATGTTATTTGTATAATAATAAAAAATATATATAAAAAAAGCGAAAAGAGACGTCATTTGAGCTTGTCGGTTGAAGCTGTTGTTAGTATTATTATTTTTTTAATTAACAAAAAAAGTTAATTTAAGAAGAAAAAATAAATAACAATAAGCTACTGGTTACCGAAGAGAAAGAGCCCCATGATTGACGATGGAGTTTCACAGAAAATGACTTGAGCCATGTGTTGTGATGATGAATCAATTCGATGATTATATTTGACAATAACGAATCCATATACATAAATTAGGTCTTTCGGCATAAACACCGTAAAGTCCAATTCAATGGCTTTGATTGAGCGCAGTTTTTCTGAGACCAAAATTTGGGTTTTCTGAAATGCTTAGTGCCTAATATTTTCCCGACCGTTCAAAAGCAACACACAAGTGGTAAGATGGGGTCAGTTATCCTATCTTTTCTTGGGCAAACTTGATGATCCAGGTGGAATTGGAATCTCAGTTAACTGTCGTCTTTTTTTTGGTCTCGTGCTAAATTCCATATCATTCTGGTTACTACACTGTCCGTATATCAGCCGATCAGTATGTGAATATGACAAAGCAAAAGACCATTTTTGACGCGTAAAACATTCGGATAACTTAGAATATGACGTGTATGGAGGGCTGACACGTGTAAATTGTTTTCCACACTTGAATATACACGTGTGAACATGAAGCTAATTAATCCCTCACTAATCTCTAATTCAAAGTCGAAACCCTGTTTCTGTCTCTTCCCACACTACCAACCAAATGGGAATGGCTTTCGGCGAAGTAGACAATATGCAACAAGGTGACATCAACAATGGCTTTTAGGGAGAAGACGAAGTCAAAAAAAGGAATTTTAATATGCTTCTCTCAAAAGTGCTTTCTTAGTAAAGAAGAGCTAGCACCCATCGAGTTTAGTTTTGAACTGATCTATGGGTTGGGACTGAAACTTTTAAGAAGTTGATCTTAGATAATATCCCTAATTCATTGACCAATCAATGTTCAACATATAATTACATCCTAATCAAAATCTTCTTGACTACAACAAAGACTCATTGAATTTGGATCCTTAATTCGTTTTTTGGGTTGGGATTAGAATGTGAACGGATGGATTATATATGGTAATAATGACTCATGACCCCCCATTAAGCTTATCATCTCATTAAGATATATATATTTACATGTAACTTTTTCGACATTTTAGATGGAAGGACAAGACTCGGACATTATCGTTAAAGGAAGCAGCGGTTTGTACAAGAGCTTTTTTGTTTTCAAACTATTGGTCTAAATACGTACAGCTTTGTAAAGCCAAATTAACTAGGTTTCCTTAACTTTTGCCTCCTTTTGTTTTGTACCTGTTTTCTTTTCAAAGAAAAAGAAAGCCAAGATTACAGCTGATTACAAAGGACTGAGTTCACTATTGCAGATTTCTCTAGATTTTGTTGAGATCAGCAAAGAACCAAGTATGAAACTTGGTCATTAGTATCAACGTCTGAACTTTCTGTAACTTGTTAGTTTTATGTTGTTTTCATCTTTTACTTATACAGTAAGGATTCCTTCTCTTGTGGTATATACTGTCTTAGAATTGTTTGATTGTGATTGATAATTTGGCTACGTGAACCAACTAGTCAAAAGTAAAAGAAATACAACTAGTCATCATCTACATATATGTATGCATGTGTATATGCATGTGCTTAATTGGTATATATAAACAATAAAGTTGCAAAAAAGTCTCTTCATTGTCAACAGAGATTATGAAGGAGGGAGGGGGGCGGGGGGAAGTTTGAGTTCTAAGTTGCACCTACAACATAGTCCAAATGCTTTTATTGCATGCCGAAGAATTTTGTGGCATGCATGTTAATTGTCGGCAAAGATTCATCATGTTCTGTAGAACTTTGTATCTCATTTTCAGCCCACATTAGAGATTTAGTCGGTGCTGGATCTTAGCCTTAATTATCGACATAGAATTGCTTTATTAGGATTTCATTGAGTTTCGTAATGAAAAATTTCATATCGTGATGAGCTTGATCAGTCAAGACTAAAGCAGTTTTTAAATAGTGTAGTTCAAGTGGTTAAGAACACTTAACCATGCACTCAAAGTCATAGGTTCAAATTCACCTCTTTCATATCGCTTGTATCAACAAAGAAGAAAGAAAAATAGAACTTCTTATTGGAAGAGATTGTTTTTCTCCCAATTGTTAAGAGTACAAAGTTAACATGGCATTCGCTTCTTCTTTAGGCATAAATTCACACGGTTGGGTTGATTGCGACTCTTTTGCAACATCTAAATAGTATCTAGTCGGCAGTTCTTTTTCTTTCTTTTCTTTTCTCCCAACTTTGGCTTTTGCATACTTTTTTTTTTTTTTTCTTTCTAAATATTTGTTTTTATATGTCTCATTTTAATTTGATCTGTGTAACGTCTTTTCTTGTGAACCTTCACACACTCACTTCGAAGGTTCCACCGAAAGTTGGACTCATAAAAATGACAAAAAAAGGTTCTCCTAAATCCTGATAGCTACAAATGAGATTGGATGGGCAATTTGCTCAAGTTATAATCGAATAGTACAAAAGGCAGGAAGGAGAAGTCGAATTGTTGGGTCAAAGCACAGTTGTGAGCCACAGTATCAAAGCATGCAGACTTCTTTTTTGTGTAGAATTTTCTACACGTTTTTATGACTAATTCGTTGTCTTTGTCTAAATAATTTGACTCAAAATGAGTCTTTGCACCTTACCATGGGCTTACTAATGGGTTATGACCTTTTGATGCGGGTGGGAAGAGAGCTAAAAACTGTATGGAGACCAACCCACTCATCCGTGTGGGAGTGTTTGAACCATGGCTGCCATCCACTTGGCAACGTTTCTCTCAAATGAGCTGTGACTTGAAGCAACAGAACTTTCAACGACTTACTAGAAAAATAATATTTATTTTTAAGGGGCACATTCAAAGGAAAAATCCCAACAGAAAGTTGACCTTTTCCTTTCCAAATTGATTTACAAGTGAGAGTTTACATCATCCGGAAAAAAAACACTTCAATGCAACAGGTCCTTTGTCAATAACGTAATGATATATGGGATAATTTTTTCAGATGTAATAGTATTATTGGTCGGAAATAGCACATTGCAAGTAAGTTTTTCTCATCCGGAGAGCTTCCCTATTGGGCAATGGCCTATGGAGTTTGAACCAAATGGTGCCCTTGGAGTTGAGAGAGTTGAACCCAAAAGACTTGTCTCCTACTCTCAAGATATGATGCCCAAAATTGGCAAGTTTTGAATGGAAAAGGTTCCGTAGGAGACCCAAGTACTTGTGGCGCCTGCCCTTGAAACATCTGCCTTCTACAGTTGAAACATGGTTGAATTTAAATTGATTGAAAGCAAATTGCAATGCATGCGATCATGAACAAGAAGAACGATTTAATGACGGCTTCTTTTCTTTTCTTTGGACATATCCATAAGCCACAAACTGTTGAAATAAACAAAAAATTAAAAGCTTTAAGCCGTTTGTGTAATATCCATGAAGCAAACAAGTTGTTTTAGGCTGGCATTTGCAAAGGGTATCTCATATTTTAAATTAATCTCTCTCTTCTCTGCTCTGCTCTGTCTGGCTCTAAGTTAAATGTTATTGAAAATTTCCTTGTATCAAAGACAGTCACACAGCATAGGTGGGGTGGGCCCAAATGGATGGGCTTTTGGATGGATTGAAAAAGTTGAGTCTATGTATAACTGGCCTAGACACTCCAAACAGCAAATTTTGTCCTAGCCTCTGTCTATTATGGCCTCTTAACCGAAAACGTTATGAACTTTGACTGCCTTTATTATATTAATCCGGTTGTTAATCTGTATATCCGTCTTCTCTTCTGTCTCGGGGCTTTCTTTAATTTAAGGTTTGGGGATAAATTTAGAAGAAGAAACAAAATTAAACCAAATCTTAGTTCTTGAGAATTGAAAGTGGATTTTACACCCGTCTCTCACTAGGTTTTGCTGGCCGGTCATCACAAAGACTCTATAGTCCCTCCAAAAAAAGTTTCCACTAAATTCTAAGCCCCACATAAACCCCCTATAAAAACCCCTCCACTACCCCCCCTTAAGACCCCAACAATCTCAACTCTCAACTCTCTCTCTCTCTCTCTCTCTCTCTCCCCCCTCTCTCCCTCCCTCCCTCCCTGTACAAATTAACTTACAGTTGATTGATCCTTATTAAGCGCATATAATAATGTGCAAGCTGACATCTCCTTCTCCCTGCTGCAATGGCAATTCAGACCACCCTTACCTTGTCTCCATTAAAGACTCAGAAGAGCCCAAAACGCTCACTACCCCATTGATCTCCAAAAGCACAACATCCCAACCAGAACAAATACAGAAGAAGCTACAACTAAACGCACACCACCAAACACACAAACCATACCAAAAATCCCATTTCTCCTTGGCTCTAAAAGAAGCCAATTCCATAGCCAGCATAGCTTTTCCCATGATACTCACTGGCCTTTTACTTTACTCCAGGTCAATGATCTCCATGCTCTTCCTCGGTCGCCTCGGCGAGCTCGCTTTAGCAGGCGGGTCCCTCGCCGTCGGCTTTGCTAACATCACCGGTTACTCGATTCTCTCTGGGCTCGCCATGGGAATGGAACCCATTTGTGGTCAAGCTTTTGGTGCCAAAAGGCATACTCTGCTTGGCCTCTCTTTGCAGAGAACAGTACTTCTTCTAATATTTACATCCTTACCCATTTCTCTTCTCTGGCTAAACATGAAGAAACTCCTCCTCCTTTGTGGCCAAGATGAAACAATTG